TTGCTTACACAAACAATACAGGCTTGTTACCTTTATAAGCGGCGCAAGAACAAAAGTATAGGGCAAATACCAAGCTTCTCGACTGTGCAAGCTCTGAGATACGAGTTAATTATTATGTGTTCACGATGACCACGCAAAAGAACAGACGAGACAAAGGAAATTAAACCTACAAAACAAAAATTGAATAACAAGTACTGTAGGATAAGAACTTGTCCTGTAAACTTTTTTTAATCTCCTCAGTTTTTTGTGAGGCTATTACGAATCAATTGAATACTATAACATCTCAGACACAAAAATCCAAAGCACACTTTGACATGAGTGATCAGTACTGCATTAGCACAATCGCGCACATTTTCTTTTTTCTAGATGTAGCCCTCTTAGTTGTGTTACAGCCAGGCTGAAAACAGAAATCTGCATTGTTTTTTCTCCTTTGTCCCAATGAAAGATTACTGTTACAGTTGCGTGCATGCCAGAACCACGTAGATGTGATAAGTTTCAAACATCTTCCAGGATTCAACACCTGGAAGTTTGGCGCAATATTTTCCCATGACGTAGGGGAGTGGGGGCAGTAACAATGCATTTGACTTTGGGTTAATGCAGGCTAATATGCGACCCACTATGGCCAGCTGGCTCAACCACAACATTTGGTCACGTGAGTCAAGTGGTACAAGAAGCATACCCAAGTTGCGTGGGTCAGGTCGCAGAGGACCAAAAGCTGGTCGAAAAAACTTCAGTTATCCTACTTGTGGTCACAAAAGAAAGTACAGTACTGACTGATTGAAACTGCACGGTCGTTTTTTCCAGTACACTATGAGCATACTACTCCTGAAGAACTGTCCATAGCAAATATGGGCAGCTGCTCATGATAACTGTGTCAAATCAATACGAATCGGGCTGCTAAATGTAATGTTGGCTCTGATATAGGCGTTCCAATCAGAATCACGCTGGTACGACACAAAGTGCAGATGCTGTAAACGAAAGTTTGTGCATTACTTAGCCCCAACATATTGCGTTTCAATCCGTGAATACTGTACGCTCTGAGATATGGCTTGTCAGCATTTTTGAAGACCCACACTGAGTACACCTTCTCAACTCGCATTTGCAATTGGAGTGCAGCTCAGTGCTAAGGACGGCCCCAACACTTAACAATACACTCACACGTCAACATAACGGAATACTGGTTATAACGAAGTAATAATAAATTGTCATACAATAGTGTTGGAAATAACCTCTATAACAAATTTTTGGGTATAATAAGCTTATTTTGTTATAAGATGCAAATTTGTTATAATGTGGTTTGAGTGCACAATGAACCTGTTCAGCTTTTTCCAACAGTCAAGTGCCTTTACAAACATTGAAAGAATAAGATCTCTGGTGTCTGCACAACAAAACAAAAAAAGGACCAGCCCACAAAGAAGACACCCAACATCCGAGACTATACACTGCAGATAGGACCCCTACCTCTTCACACATCTGATACAGACAACTGGCTGACGTCATGGACACAGCCCTATGACGACGAGCCGATACGCATTCTAAAACAGTCATCGCTTATCTACAAAACTAATGGATAACATCTCCTTGCAACTTTTTTTCAGCATACACTCGGTGTAGTGACAAACACATCCATTCTTTTTTTTTCTACACAAAAAGTGATCAAAGGTCAACCAACTTGATGCAGTCACAAGTCAGGGCATGTGTAATTGTACAGTACATACAATAATGCAGTGCGCTGATGTTACACAGTCGCATCACCTAATCTGAAGATGGAACCAGATGCATGTCTCGGAAAGAGAAGAGATAAACCAGTGTTTCATCTGTAATGCTTGTAGTATGAAGTATCATACTGGTCTCATGCGTGAGAACGTTGGCAACACACGAGGAAACAATCATAGTTCTTTGTTACCATACAAAGAGTGGAAAAATGTGCCAAAATTATGAAAAAAATGTTTCCTAAATTTCTAGAGCTTCTTTTTTAATAGAACGGTACCATTTTCCTTTTTTTTCAGTTCAGTGGGTGTTTCCTTATTTCACTAAGTGCTCAAAAAAAAAAAAAACTCGAAGGTAGCTTCACTGCATGACAAAGAAATGAAAAACGTGAACAAAATGAAAACCAAGACACAAATGGCCCAGAATGGACAGTTGTGGCCACCTAGTGTCAAGAAACGGAAGTATGACTAGTGTAGTCTGCATTGATTTGACGACTAGTACAGTCATCATCGGTCAATTTTTTAGTACAAAATCTCATGAATACTCTAGTCAACGATAGCGAAAGGGTTAGAGAGTCAGAACTCATTAACAGCTTATCATCTGTGCTAAGACTAACTTTCAATTCAGAAAAATTTGCTCTAAAACAATGCCTGCATCTTATAACCCACAAGACATTTCAGACTGTTCAGTGCTTAAGACACAATGACAGCCCACCCCACTGAGCCTTATGTCGGTAAACCTTTGTCAACGTTTCGTCAGCAGGCTCTTCTGCTCTGTGCATAACAGCTGATACAATGGACACTCTGACATAATGTATGTGCACATTTGAAGATCACAACTATGAAAGCAAATTCTGTTCGTTTATGAGGGGTCAGATTTTTTATTGTGACAAAACGACATTCTTATACTAGTTATATTCGAGTGTCATCATTTTCGCTCTGTCATTAATAGGTTGACGCATCTGCGTGCTGCTGCTATCACAGAGACAGAATGTTATTGCACGAATAAATTGTAAGCCCTAAAAAAAGATTCGCAATACACTGAGTCTATTGTTACACACGCTATGTGAACATTTTGAAAGAAAGTGCTCACAGCCATTTAGTTTTGGGCTTGTTACAAAGTGGAGCACTTCCACGCACCCAAGACAAAATATTGCCTACACCCTACAAGCATGCCTCGACAAAGTTGCCTTAATGCAATATTGCACTGACTCAAATTTACAACAGGTGCACACACACACACACACACGCAAAAAAAAAACAGGCGCATTGATTACCGTCACAAAACAGTGGCCTGTTAGGCTAGGCTGCCAGTTTCAGCACAACAACCCTACAAAGAAGTACACTGTATTACAGCGCAATCCAAGGACGTACGTCACTTCGGATGCTCTGCGGTGCCGACACATCAGTGCCATAGCATCAGTGTGCAAGATTACCAATACTGACACGTCATTATGATGCGCCTTTTCTTCCACATGTAGAACAGTACATCATATCACAACGCATTTCTCTTCACTAAAGGACGTGTGTCACTTTGGACACTACGGCACTGACCCATAATAGCGGTAACAACTCAGTGTGGGTCTCCAAACAAGACTATGCATAAGGGAGGCTGCAAGCTTATCTAACTTTACCTAACTAACAAAGCACGGATGCAGAGGTGCATCACACAAGGACTGGCAAAGAAGTGCCTAGCACTAAGTTACCGGCTAGCTTGCCAGGGGGGCCACAACAATCTTTTTATTCTATTCACTTCCCCCGCTAACAGAATGTCACCTTGGGTGACAAATAAATCCTGCAAGACAACCTTTGAGTACTTTGTACAAATTTTTACTCTCCTAATGGACACAAAAATAGTACAAGTTGAGTATTCCTGATATCAGTCAGCGCATAAGGAAATGTGCCAGGTACGACGCGACAGCCGCTAAGATCCCCGACAGCTCGAGTTTTGCAAACACTTGGAATTTCAGAGAGAGTTCAGCTTCCTACCACATTTGCAAGCACTGCTTGTCCATTTGCCATGAATCTATAGGGTAGACAAACTGCAGTGGTGCGAGTAAAATAAAAATGGCTGTTTGGTATACTAAAATGCCATTTTCGATGCACCAACACGTGGGGCAAATGTCGATGCCTTGCATGTAATTGCTACGTTGCAATGCACCACTCCACTTGTGACAGATGATGCCACAATTGACCTGCTATAAAGCCAGCAATTTTTTTTTTTATTGCATCATTTCAGATGACAGACGCTTCGGCTTGATTGTGGGTGAATTGGACATGTAATGCCCCAAATGTGATGTAAAACTGAAGTAACTGCCAAATGCAGTTCACGCAAAATCTGAGTAGCAAACTGCGAGTGCTTTAACTGGAAAAGTTGCAGTCACCTGCAGCAACACCCAGTGCTTGCAATAAAATAATGGCGGTACCCTGGATATATTTCCGATATTCACATGGTGAGTACTAAGAAAGCGATGGATGTGGCACTGATAATAACCAACGTGTTAATCAGTCTAGTTTTGTAATTGCAATACTAGTACACTCACGAAACCTTTAAACCGAGCACATCTGAAGTGCATCAACATACTGAAACAACGTCCACCCTTTGCCTGGTCCCGGTGCTGCTTCTCCGAAGACCTTTTGCTACAAAAGCCGCAGTCCGAGATGCCGGACTTGACAATCTCTTCTTTTTCTATCCTACACTGGGTCAGCTAAACTTTTCGAAAGTTTGAAAGAACTTTGTTTCTACAAGTGGGCAAACTCACAGAGATCAAAGACTTGCGAGCAGGCACATCTAGAACCCCAAGAGTATCTAGGCAAAAGGCTATCAGTGGACAAGTCTTGGATGGCTTTGTTGTGCTTTGGCATTGGCAACATTGGTACTGGCGGACCTAGTACAGCAAGGCAGTCTTGTCTTCATATGGCTAAATTTTTACAAAACTGTCTCGCTGTCAACTCTACAGAACAATGCCTTTTCATAAAAAGCAACAGTCGCATTGGGGAGATGAATGTTGCAAACAAAATGGAGCGGCCCCGAATGGGGAGAAATTGTGTTGAACTAGTAGAAAGATTTAAATTACCGAAGATTTCATTTGAAAAACATACTTTTCATTTAGCGGAACAGCTTGTGTACACCAGGCAAAAAAACAGCCATGCCTGCTGCTTTACACTGACTACAGACACCAAAATATGCAAGTTTAGTTTGAACGAATGCAAACTGCACTTAGTACTAGACAAAAGAAGATTACAGATCACTCTATCGACTTGCTATACACAAATGTCACAAATAATTGGCACTATAATGGTGTTCACTGTTTATTGCCAGATTTAGGTGCCCACGGTCAGCAAACGTGCTATGTCAACGAAAACTTCACTGCAACAATTTATATGGACATTTATTTGTGTGCACAGTGTTCAGACTGCCCTTTCTCCGGGTTCAGGTATGGGAGCTCGAAGTAACAAGCACAAAAGCACGGATCATCGTCAACAGAAGGCTTCACAAAAAAAAAGAGTCTCGCGTGAAGCCAAATTGTTGCGATATGCCTTCTAACTCGAGTTTTATTTTCAATGTGCCTGACCAATGCTACCCACTGCCTAAACACACGCGCACACATCATTTCCATAGTACCTACTGAGATTCAGGAAAAGCAGCGAGTAAATGTCGTTATGTGTAAACTTTTGCAACCGTGTCATTTCCATGCTGCAAGCACAGACTTGAGCTCAAACATGCCACCTTTGCCTTGCAAAGCATAAACGCAATCAGGACACTCTGTACCGCTACAGCACGCACATCCTCTACGATCGGTAAATATCTATTACACGTGTGATACCACTATGTGCTCCCTTCCTCTCAGATCTCACAAGCAAAACCAAGCAGCTGCTGTGTAACCACGTATGTACATAAACTACGAAGCCACTCAGAACAGCAAATGGCGACAACAAAATTCACGCACACAAAATGAGCCAACAAATCTTATATTGTAGGCATAGAAATCACAAAAGCACAACAATAGCTTTGCAACTGGAATTCAGCAGGCGAATATAAGCCATTGCACAAATTAAAGCTTCAACTGACTGTAGCATTTGCTTCAAGCTATCAGTGAAAGCTTGTAGGAAACAACTGGGCTGCCAAATTCAAAACGAGCCCCGCTCCCCCGCCCCTCCCTCATCGAAAAGCCTGGCTAACTTGACAGTGATCCCTCCGCAGTACGTTCCAGAACCATTCTTGGCGCCTTCAATTTAACCAGACAAAAAAAAAGGTGACTCGCCAACAATCGGGCCTAGCCAGAACAATAATAACCACACAACACATTTTCACGAGGAGTCATGAGGATACACAGACACCGTTAGTGCGGTTGAGCTCGATTTGGGTAGATCAGGGCAAAATTTGTGACTCGGAAACGTTTTCAGTATGCACGTGCAAAGTTGAAAGGTTTAAGGAAACTGGCCTCAGTCGTTCAAACATTTCACAGCACGATCTGTTTAACCCACCGCAACGACATACAACTAAAAAATATATATATACTCACTCGCGCCTACAGACACAAATAAAACACAAGTTCAACTTACTTATATAAACTTTATAGTTTTGACAAATGGCCAAAAGCCGTTGCGGGCACACCCAAAAACACACTGCCGCTTACAGTGAGCCAGAGTTTTGTGTGAACAGTGTATAAAATAGTGCTTTACATTTGGCCTAGGTCCACCAATCCTTCACTGCCAATGTGGCGGTAAAACGAAAAGCAGTGTGTTGTGAGCATTTGATTTCACACGTGGCAACTTCCAGGAGCGTATCGAGGCCGACAGGTTGGTACCTGTTCGTCACCCTCACTTCACTGCCAACCGAAAACGCATTTGTGAGGAAAATGAAACTACAGGACAGTACACCAAGCAAGAAAGCACCAGGAACTCTCCAGGATGACGAACGCCTCAAGAACGCGACCACAATGCAAAAGTAGGCCATTTCTTTTAACTCGGCTTCGGCAACACTACGGTTGTTTTTTTTTCCTGCCCATCGTGCTAGTCCAAAAAAAGCAGTTCTGGGGACCAACGAAATAATGAAGAAATTAGGCTTTTTTTTCCGGTAGAAAGTTGACGACGGGGAAGCATCATTTTGGTGCTTGAAGCTGCAGAGCGCAGTTTGGACAAGGTTGCCATTCGTGCAAAATTTACACGCCTGTCGGCTCGCGTCTATTGTTCAGCGGCCGAAGAACGCAGCCTGCGGCGACACGGGCCACGGCGAGCTGCTGGAGAGGCCAGGCAGAAGGGCTGGCCTGGATTGGCTTCCATTGGAAGAACAGTCCTGCAAGTAAGCACATGTTCAGACGTCAAAGCTCAATATAACAATGTCCACATAACAAACTATATTGCGCTCTGCAACGGAAACAATGAGGATAGTGTATGAAGGGTAGGAGGCGAGGTTCTTGGACACTCAAAGAAAAAGTGTAAAGAATTGCCATGTGCGAGCTAGCAAGTACAAGTGGGGACAGGGGCTTGGACATGGGTAAGTTTCTTTAGAAAAATTGGGCAGCTTGTGCCAGTGGTGCAAGGCTAGATTAACAGCAGAGCCTGCTGATGATCTATTTAATAACTAACGTGATAATAATTAGGTATAATCAACAAAATTTTAATTAGCACAAAACTAAATCTGTTGCTCTTGTAGGAAAGGTACTCTCTTTTTTGTTCGTTTATTTCTTTCTCTTTTTATTCTTTTACCTCTCTTTCTTTCCTTCTCCATTTATCAGTTCTGTGCTTTGTAATTCTCCAGAAGGCACATGCACTGAAGAAACACCTAGATTGCACCTATATTGTGTCAGCCACAACGGATGTGCTGGCCATAGGCCTTATTATCAATCAAATCACTAGGCAATACAAAAAAATGCACTGTAATGGTAACTATCCCCATTGCTCATATGCACGTCGCCAAGAGCAAACTGTTTATCTAGAGTCAATCCAAAGACAAAGAAAAGGACAAATATAATCTCACAACCTTCGGTTCAGCAGTCGCAGATATTTATTTATTTACTTAGTTATTTTGCAATCTTGCCTATTTCTCCAGTAACATGCAAGCTTAGGCAATACACATGTTTAAATCAATCTTTGCCAATTTCCTCTCTCACCTGGTTGCTGGAAGAAGCAGGTCCCGCGAAGAACTCGTCAGCAAAAGGGTCCTGCGCTCCACAGCGGCTAAAGAGGTTGCTGCTGCCCGACGAAGTGGAGGATGAGGCCGCCTTTGCTGGCTGGATCGGCGACACGGAAGACGCGTTACTGCCACTACAAAAGCCCTCATCCTGTGGCGGAACGACCAGCGGAGGAGGCGGGGGCGGAAAGGCCGGCGGAGGAGGACCATCGTCTTGTTCCTCTTCTTCAAATGTCTGCCAGCCGCTGACTGCACTGGTCAGCTGAGTGGGCGGCTTCCTGGGAGGGCTCCTGAGCTCACCAAACATGCCATGGTTCCTGCCTAGGCCCTTAGACGACGGAGGGCTCAGGGGACTCTTCAGTTCTCCAGAGCTTGTTTTGGGCTTGCCAATTTCATTGGCCAATGAGTCGAAAGAGCTCTTAGTCTCTGGAAAGGCGACATGGTTGGAAGGCTTGCAAAAAATATTGGCGAAGGGGTCCAAGGGACTATCGACAGTTCTGATGTTGTGCTTGGCAACGCCCTCAGAGGAGGAGTTTAGTGGGCTCTTAAGCTCTCCAATGCTCGAGTAGTGGTTCCTGCCAATGCCTTCGGTTGAAGAGCTTAATGGACTTTTGAGCTCTCCGATGCTAGCGTACTGGTTTCTGCCGATGCCTTCAGCCAAGGAGTTGAGCGGGCTCTGAAGATCGTTGAACGCGGATTGCTGCCTGCTGCTGCCACCATCTTCAGCTAATGGGTCCAGGGGGCTCTTGAGTTCGTCAAAAGCAACGTGGCGATGCCTGCCACTCTTTCCACTGCTTTCGGATAAGGGGTCCAGGTCGGCGAACAGGTCGGGCAGCGGAGTCGGGGGCAGGGAGGCAGTGACTGTGGGTGCGTCACCAAACGGCAGGGTCCGCGGCGGCGGCACGGCTCGGTGCTGCTGCTGCGCTGTCTGCGATAGATACCCTCACACTCAAACTGACTTCGTAACAAGATTGCGCTCATTGATCCACCACACTCTATAAATAATGCTCAATACTTAGCTTTCAGTGATATATAAAAAACAATAAGTGACTGGGCACCAGAAGAAGGAATCATTACAGTGAAGCGATTCAAATAAGGTGAAGTTTGTACACTGGCAATGTAGGTAATTTAAGTAAAGCTTGGTTGAACAAGACAAAGAATAGTGTTAAGTGTTCTACTAAGTGGCATAGACAGTAAAACCAATCTTAACCAAGTTGAAAAGTAGCCAAAGAGACTAAAAAGAAAAAGGCTCCTGGAAAACTTTGGTTTGCTATGAAATCATACCCATTGCATCTACCACATGTTTCTCTGTACGCGTGTTTCATAGCACTGCACCGCAAAAGTTTGACTAAAAAAAGACACTGTGCTCAAACTGCAAATGGCATAAGGACATCAAAAAAACAAACAACATAAGTGTAGCACTCATTGCTAGCATCCTGCCTGATAATTTCCTCTGGCTAACATGAGCGATTCCAGATAAAATTATGTTTTCAGTAGGGGTGTACGAATATCAAAATTTTTGAATATGAATCGAATACGAATACATAGCTTTCAATATGAATCGAACATCGAATAATAAAGAGGTGCAGTTTTTTTTTCACCCGTAATCTTTTACTGAATCATATATTTAAGTTGGAAACAGTACAATTGTTATTATAGTCAGTTATTGCACACAAAAATTTTTAAAAAGATGTCACCATCTGTACTTGCCAGTTGGGTTCAATTCGCATGATGAACAAACCTTTTGTATCTTTTTTTATGTGGTAGCACTTTACTACAAAAAAAAGAAAGAAAAGCTTTTGTACTTGCCTTGATAACTAGTGAGCATGAGGCCATTGGTTTGATTTTGTAACAGGCAACACCCGTGTACTTAAATCTAAGCGATTATTAAAGCAGTCTAGGTGGTCACAACTCATCAAGCTTTAGCTCGAAAGACCGCAATTTTATAGTTTTATTTTTAATTTTGTCCCCTGTTCTCATATCCAGTCAAGTCACTAAGAAAAATAGGAGTGCTTGGGGCATTTTTCAACTACACAGCAATACTCATAATCTCGCTTACTTCCGTTGCCTTTCTCCAGGACTGCGCTAATCATTTTACGATGAAGAATGCTGCGTTCTTCGTTCCTGTCTTCTTCTCCTCCTGTTTCATGAAATGTCTTTCGCACCTCAATCATCTGCACTAAGCGAATTCTAGGTTTGAACTGAATAGTGAAATTGGTCAAATAATTTGGTATTGAATTCTAGTAGTATATATGACATATAAAGAAAAATGGGCATATTTATCATGACCTAAATAACCTACACAATATTTATTTAAAAATTAAATACAGCCTCTATGCCAATTTCCCTTTTTTTTTTTTTATTCAGAAGAAGTCGAAAGAACTTTGAGTAGTAGCAGGATGTTACTTTTAGCAGGATGGGAGTTCCAACCCTTAAAATACGTAACATTTTAAGATTTATTATACTTGGAGCATATAAACCGTCATTACTAGCTTTTAAGCTTAATAAAATGAATTGATTTGAGAGTAATATTTTCACTTAAGGGGACCGTATGACACTTCTTCAAGTAGCCATGGAATGCATTCACTACAGAAGCTTATTTATTGCCTCATGAATTCGCCGCCACAAATATTTTTAGAATCCGTCCAGTACAGGCAGAGTCACAAAGATTTCACGCACGCTGCTAGTGCATTCTTTCTTCTCATCCCGACAAAAGCACTGGAACCTAAACAGGGAGGGATGGCACGGGAAAAAATACGTCACACGTGCTTTCTGAGTTTATAGTCATTTGCCGAGAGAAGAGAGGAATTTTCAGCTGGCTTTGAGAATTTATTGGGAATCGCACACCGCGTGCGGCGCTATAATATTTTGCTTGCGTGTCTGACAATGCTCAAAAAGTGTTGCAGGGCCCCTTTAAATTTGAAGGGTGGCTTCACGGCAGAGCGGATTTTTTTTAATAAATGCGTTCACGGTTCAGCATCCCAACACTGCAGTGAAACCACCTTTACAAGTGGTACATTCGTAATAAAATGCATTTATTCGTTGCTTACGAATACTTTGAAATTTTCAATAATTTAAATTCAAACAGAAGCGAGTTCGAATACCCTAATATTCGTTTGAATATTCAAAGCATTAAAATAATCGCACAAGCCTATTCAAGGAATATTCGAGTTAGTTCAAATACTCGTTCAAAGTTCAAATATTAGTTCAAAGTTCAAATTTTTGAATAACTGGTTATCAAATCGAGTACAATATTACAAATGCAATATTGGCCGTATATTCAAAACTTTCGAATATTCGCACACCCCTAGTTTTCAACTAATCAAAATGAGAACTTGAGATAAAAGGTTGCATCACAAAGCCAAGGTGATGACTCAAGACACTAAACATTTATTGCTGGTCAAGATAATCATTTCAGGTAAAGTCATTGTATCTGCCAAGGAAGATGAGGATTTCAAACACAATTTTCGTTTTAGCTGATCAAGATGAGGACTCGAGGTGACCGAGATGCAAATAGTGAATTTTAGGTTCGAAGCGAATTCGAAGTGAATAGTGATTTTGGTCGAATACTTTCGAATCGAATCCAAATAGAATATATCATGTATGAAAAATGGGCATATTTATCGCAACGTAACTAACCTGCACATTATTTTTTCGTAAACATAGCTTCTATGCAGGAGCTTTCTTTATTTTTTCTATTCAAAGGAAATCGAAACAACTTAAAGAAGTAGGAGAATTTGACTTTCTGTAGGATGCAAGTGATAACCTGTAAAATACTTAACATTACAGTCGGAACCCGCAATAACAAAATCGCCAAGGAAACCGAAAAATTTCATTTTCGCGAGAATTTCGTTGCCGCGAGTATGAGACATAAAAACAGTGATACGGCCAGCAGAATGAAAATTTATTGCTAGAATTTGGTTAACTTAATTTGCCGACCCTTGCCATGCAACAACTTCAAACCTCTCTCTTCGCACTGAAAAAAGTGGTCCATTGCTACGTCGTCATGTGCGCCAAAGAAGGAGTGAAGGGTGTCCAGCGCATCCAAAACAACCCGTGGGTTGGGTTTCTCCGCGTGCGTCTCTTCTTGGTCCTCGGTGTCGTCAGCTTCGCGCACGCTTTCAATAATGGCCTCGTCAGTCACTTCCTCGTACACGACTACGTCGTCATCGGCGCAAATGAACGCATCAACGGTGAGTTCATCTGGGATGTCGGTGTCGATGGCTCGAAGTCCCCCCTGGGCGTTGGTCACAGATAGAGGCACTGCACTGCCACCACTCTCGCCGTCAAGTGCGCCTTCGTCCAAATCTTCGTCTGGTGAGGTCGAACCGCGATCCGTGCGTGATGCTTGCACGGTGGTGGTGAAGCCTGTGTGCTTGAAGCAGTTCTCAATCAGCGACGGGGATAATGTTGATCTTGATTTCAGCACCAGTTCCAGTCTTCTCTTCGTCGTTTTCATTGATTCTAACTGTTGGTGTTGCTTCAGCCTGTTGAGCTCGTCCGACGGCGCCATCTGCACTTCCGCATGATCATTTGCCATCGCCTGCTGCAGAGTGGCCAGGCATGTTGCCGGACACAGACCCCATTGCCGATTTAAGTAAACACAAATGGCGCTACCCACGCTAGCACGGCAAAAGGAGACATTTGCAAATTGTGAGAGTGCATAACACGCATACAAGCATATTTTCGACAGTTAACCTTTGTCGGAAGGGTAAGATAAGGCCCGCTTCGTGATAGAAAATTCGTTAATGCAGGATCGCTGTCCAAAAACATTTCGTTGCCGTGAGATACGTAATCCATGGGCTTCTATAAACGTTCGCTGAGGATCCGGAAATATTTCGTTGCCACGGAAATTTCGTACTCGTGGGGCTTCATTATTGCTGGTTTCAACTGTATTCACTGCAGTTCATCATCATCAGCCTGACTATGTCCACTGCAGGACAAAGGCCTCTCACATGTTCCGCCAGTTAACCCGGTCTTGTGCTTGCTGCTGCCAATTTATACCTGCAAACTTCTTAATCTCACCTGCCCACCTAACCTTCTGTCTCCCCCTAACCCGCTTCCCTTCTCTGGGAATTCAGTTAGTTACCCTTAATGACCAGCGGTTATCCTGTCTACGCGCTACATGCCCGGCCCATGTCCATTTCCTCTTCTTTATTTCAACTATGATATCCTTGACACCCGTTTGTCCCCTAATTCACTCTGCTCTCTTCTTGTCTCTTAAGGTTACACCTACCATTTTTCTTTCCATTGCTCGCTGCGTCGTCCTCAATTTAAGCTGAACCCTTTTTGTAAGTCTCCAGGTTTCTGCTCCGTAGCTAAGTACCGGCAAGATACAGCTGTTATATACCTTCTTCTTGAGGGATAGTGGCAACCTACCTGTCATAATTTGAGAGTGCTTGCCGAATGTACTCCACCCCATTCTTATTCTTCTAGTTACTTCAATCTCGTGGTTAGGCTCTGCGGTTATTACCTGCCCTAAGTAGACATAGTCTTTTACAACTTCAAGTGCACTATTACCTATCTCGAAGCGCTGCTCCTTTCCGAGGTTGTTGTACATTACTTTCGTTTTCTGCAGATTAATTTTAAGACCCACCTTTCTGCTCTCCTTGTCTAACTCCGTAATCATGAGTTGCAATTCGTCCCCCCGAGTTACTCAGCAATGCAATGTCATCGGCGAAGCGCAGGTTACTAAGGTATTCTCCATTAAACTCTTATCCCTAACTGCTCCCATTCTAGGCTTCTGAAAACCTCCTGTAAGCACGTGGTAAATAGCATTGGGGAGATTGCGTCCCCCTGCCTTACACCCTTCTTGATTGGTATTCTGTTGCTTTCTTTGTGAAGCACTATGGTAGCAGTTGATCCCCTCTAGATTTCTTCCAGAATGTTTATATATACTTCATCTACGCCCTGATTCCGCAGTGTCTG